GGGGGGTTGGTGCTGCCGCGGGGCGGGGGCTGCGCCCCGGGGGGTGCGGGAGCCCCTGCTCCCCGTTCCGGGGGTGCGGGAGGCCCTGCTCCCCGTTCCGGGGGTGCGGGAGGCCCTGCTCCCCGCGCCGGGTCCCTGCCCGGGCCGTGGGCCCCGCACGACGGGCCCTGCAGGAGGATCCCGGCCCGGGGTGGGGTCCCTGCGGCCGCTGAGGGAAAGGTGGGCGTTGTGGGCTTAACCAACAAAACCAAATCAATAATAAGAAAATGCGTCCTGGAATACAAGCTGTGCCATTGCTTTTTGTTGCCTTTTTTTATTAAGAGCAGGAAGACGAATGCCTGCCTTTAGTCACTCGGCTGTGTGGGAGGAACTGGCCTGACTGCACCGAGTCCTGGCGTTTTAACTTGTGTCTCAGCAAGATGAAGTTTTTAGAAGAAGACTTTAAAAAATAAAACTATTTTGTTACTAAAATACAACTCCAAAACATCTTAGCACCACAAAGAATTAAAAGAGGGCTTTTACTTTGTACAAACTACTTTTTACACAGCCTTACTTAACTCATTTTTTCCTCGTTGAAGTTGCTTTAATTATAAATAGCACTTTCTCTTTGGGCTTTCAAGCTATGGCTCCAAGAAGTTTAAACCAGGGACTTCAATGAGACATCCCAGTGACAGGTACTGGTGGGTCCTGGTTGTGGCCAGGCTGCTGTGAGCAGGATGCTTCTCCATTCAAGCGGGAGCACTGAAGGGAGAGCAGGTTCAGAGCAGAGAGGTGATCCATAGGGTGCACTCATCAACGCCCATTCTGCTAGAGGACATTGTCCTATCATGGACCCGGAGCCCACTGTGCGTATGGGCACAGATCCAGAAACAAAGCAAACACAAAACAAAATTCAGAACAAAAGCAGTCAGGAGGCAGCAGCGCAGGTTCAGGAGCCTTTCTGAATCCAGGACTAACTCTTGAAATGGCAAGACAGACACTGAAGGGCTGCACAGCTTGTGACAAGCAGGGAGACGCGGCGCATGATGCGGCAGCTTCTGAAGTGCACACGTAGCAGGAGAAACAGCAGAGGAGGATGTGGGATCCAAAATTTCAGCACCCTGATAAAAAACCAGCCTGGTCTGCTGCCTCCATGCTGAGGGTTATCGTGTTAAAACATTTCAGACATACTAGCAGGATGCCTGAGAAACGGGAAGCAGTTAGACCATAGCTGTTCATGGAGCTCGTTAACAGTAACTGAAATGGGATTTTAGTCAAGTACCCCTCAGAAAGCTGTCCAATAAGCCTCTAATGAGCACATTCGCTCAGTGATTTCTCATTAAATATAATGAACATCAGGTATACTATATCAGATTGCCCTGATTAATGAGGTTTTACTTAAGTATGTTTCTGGTAACTTTTGTTATTACTGGATCATGTACATTCACTGCAAACAAAATAAAGACTAAAGACTCAGTTTTGGAATGCTGGATATACAGCATAAAATATTTTCACTGACTTTCTACTGGGAAATATTTTCTTAAATTCTGTTTTCTCTTACTCAAACAAACCAAGCCAACTTTGACTTTCTTTAGCATCTGGTGCTAAACTCAAGTGTGGATCCCAAATGTAAGCCAATTCCCTTTGGTTTAAGTGGTTCAGGATACCCAGCACGGCACCAAACAACACCATGCATTTCCTTATCACATAAAAGCTTTAAATTGAAAGGGAGACAGTTTTAATGCATGGCTTTGGCCTTGCAACTGTCTCCGTTCAGGCAGAACTGTGTCCAGGAAGGTCTTGTTCAAACTATGCTCTTTGTGGAGGCAGCAGCAGGAGAAACACCTATTCAGCCTCTCTCTGTGCTCTGCTGTTCTTTCCCACGCAAGAAACAACAGCAATGCAGCTAGAAGTACGTATCACTGACAGGGGCAAATTAAATTGCATTTGCCTTTTATTGAAGCACATTGTGTTATGTTCAGAGTATCTATAGAATCATAAAAATACACTTTTTATAGCTTAAGCATTTTCGTATTCCTTAACAGTTTTTATAGTCCTGGCAGCTATCACCATTATGATGACAATACAGAGCATACCTAGTAATAGATGGCTACTTTCATTACAGATTGCAGAAGTAAGGTTAAAGGCTTTATCTTGTAGCTGGAAGTCCCATCTGAATGTGTCAGGGAATGTCTCAAGCTGTGGCTGTCACTTTTACTTCTGCAACATGTAGAGCACTAGTAGTACTTTCAGTTACAAAGTTATGCCTTACCAGAACGGGAGATCTGTCTCCCCCTGTGGATGTGAACTGTTCTCTTTATTGACTAGAGTCAGGTCAAGCTGTAATATGAGAGGATTCAGGATGTTCTGAATTTCTGTTAATGAAGTTTGGGATTAAATATAACCTGCATTTTTTGAACTATATTTGTGCAAAATATACTTCCCATGTCATTATTTCTTACGAGTTAGGAGCATAATGTGCAGACACTTTTAGCTGCCAAAAGCTCTCTGAAGTCTTTGGGGGTGGAAGGTTCTTGTGTGCAGTTTTCTATTTTAAAGTGGATTCTCATTTGTCACATTTTACTTTTCTTTGCAAACGAAGTACAGGGGGGTCTGAAAGCCTGGCCCATTTGTTGGAATGAAACCATGGAAAGAACACAGAACTTGACTTCATCAAAGCAAGGGCAGTGCCTTCTTGGAAGGACATATAGACAATTAAGAGATTAAACTAACAGGATCAGAAGATCAGCCCTAAGCGTGCTGAAGGGAGAATGAACATGCAAAGGCTACTTGATATCAGCATATGCCATGTCTGGAAGAATTAATTAATTTTAAGAACTCTACTAATACAAAAGGATGTTTAATACTGGCTCAGATTAATGAAGTGTTGTGAAAAGCAGTGATTACTTTGAATATTTAAAATGACTGAAGTCTGGTGTACAGCTGTGCTGTTTATACAACCTGATGGGCATTAGAACTGCTTTTGCATCTACCAGCTCAGCAAAGGACCAGGCTAATTTTGTGTTAAACAATACAGAAAAGTTGCTGAGTAACAGATCCCAAAAAACCTGAAGGAAGTTTAAAGACGACCCAGCATTCAGAGCAGGCTTATCTTGTTTAAAAGCATTGTCACATATTTTGCAGCATGTCAGGATATTCCAAGGTACTTTCAGTACAACATTCAAAATTAACGTGTTCATAGGTTAAATTACCTTAAGTACTCCAAATGTTCCCCTGCAGAGACAATCTAATGCATGAGCTCTCATGCAAAGACAGTACATGTGATCATTCTGACCTCTGAATGCAGCCACGCTCAGAGAAAACTTGCAGAATCAGACCTGAACATGGTATCTTTAAAAACAACATGAATATTTCTGCATTTCAAGAAAATATACTTTTCAATAGTGTTACTAGCAGCAAAGCAAGGAAAATACATTGTCATCTAGAGCATAAACTTTTGAACAATTCAAAATTATTCCAGACCTCAAACTAATTTCATGCATAAAACAAGCACACTTGCCATCTATTAAGAGAATGCTGGGTTTTGTTGCAGAGCTACTCAGACCTTGGATTTCCAAGTCCAATTTGAAAAATTAGGTCTTCATTTCAAAATTCTCCCAAATTAGTGGTTAATTATTGTGATTTGGCCATGAAATACTGATTCGGGTACTAACTATGAAATTAAGATTCTGAAGCCAGTTTTGACCACAAAATAAATCCTTACCCTAAATTTTTCTTACCTGGTCTACGTGCATTTTGTAAGTTAAAACTTACTGACTGAATGGAGATGTTTGACAAATGACATGTGAGTTTTGTATCACCATGTATCTGATCAAGTTTGGGGAGAGGGGGGTATGACTCCTGACTGTCTAGTTGCAATGCAGCTATAGCCTGTAATCCTTAAATTCAGGAAAAAACACAGAATGTTGCTCTTAATATTCATCATCAAATGCAACATGTGCTACAAATCTGTGCTGGTTAAAACTATGTGCTGGTTGCACAAGTTAAAGTTACCCTATTAAGAGAAGAATTACATTAAATCAATGTCAAAGAAGATGTACACAGTTCCCACAGGAATTCCATTTATAGCCTAATTTCCACAATCTAAGTGAAATTAATTTTGTAGTCCCAATTTGATTTTAGGTTTACAGGTCAGTCTTGCCACTTACATCTAATGTAAGTAATACATTAGGTGAACTTCTGATGAATTAAAGCTGCTAGACTTAAACCAGTAATGGTCAACAGTTCTCACAGAGCACACAGGCACAATGAGAAAAATGTAGGATCAGAGACTCCTATGAAAACATCTGTTAAAATTCTCTCAGGATATATATATATATTTTAAAAAGGGGGAGGGGGAGAACCCAAACCCTTCTGTAGAGTATTACAGCTGCAGGACAGAATGTACTACCAAAAGTGCAAATCAGGAAGGGTGGGCCCTTGCACATTTTGTTCAAAATAGTGTTCCCCTTTGATGTAAAAAAAACCCCAACAACAAAACAAAAAACCACCACAAAAAACAGACCCAGGAGTCTGAAGGGAGGGTCTGGGATTCCTATTTATGCTGGACCATTCCTATCAATAGCATTTACCACTCTTCCATGAAGTGCCTCTGAAGTTTCAAGCCAACTGACCTACAAACCTGCATCTGGCCTTTCCTGCCTGCTCCAGGGAGGGACAGTGGGCACAAGGAGCTACATTGCACCTCCCTCCCTCCTGGGCACCAGCCTTACAAGACACATTGTCTGTAGCTGGTAGATAAGAACATGAAGCCAAAACCCATTACTGGTCATATTAACATAAAATATGGCACAGCCTTCCATTCCATGCAGGAAGAGTTTTGTAGCTGCATTTTCCTTTTCATAAAAATGTCTCTTTTCCATGCCAGGATCTTCAATATCCATGGTAACAGCAGAGGACAACTAATTGATTATTTGTGGTAAGTGATGAAAGTAACAGCACAATAAATTGTGAATAAAAGGACAACATTACAAACACTTTCCTGTATTATCTTTCAGTTGAGCAACAGGAGCTAACCAGCATTTTAGACATAACTGAGATAGTTACATTTCTGGTATCTATGTAATATATTTTTTCTTACCCTTGATGTTTTATTTTTAACTATGCCATATAAAAAAAAGAAACCACAACACATGAAAATGTCTGCAAAAGCTCACCTGTTATTCCAAAAGTTAATTATTTATACACAAAATCATTTCCAAATAAGAAAAAAAACACAAAACGCAAAAGTTGTGACTGTGTGTGCATGTTGCTGTCATAAGTGATCAGTTAAGTGTTCCTCCAGATCTCTAGCTGCCTTTTTTTTTGCTATGCACTGACCAGTTCTCAGGTTGCATCCCTAGTGTATCAACCATGATTACCTCTGCAGACTTAAGACAGACCCAGGTCTCGGAGTTTTAGTCTCCTGTGAAGCAATGACTGTAAGTACTGACCTGAAAACACTTAGCACCAAAATATTGAAGACAAAGTAGATCTTAAAACCAATAAACCAGTCAACACACTTGCTTTTCCTTCTGTGTGACCTACCAGGACACTGCTGCAGAGGACAGTCCAGGTTCTTCCAGCCTCTTCTGCAAAGTCTGCCTTTGTGTTAAACTATTTCTTCCCTCAGTCTCTGCCCACTTTCTCCTGCTCTGATCTTTAGTTCTCATCCTGATAAATCAGCTGCATCCCTTGGAATTGGAGCTATCATCTTGTAATCACCTAGAGCTGACATGGGGGAACCACTAAATTGCCGTTTAGTCCTTCATCAGTGAGTTCCCTATTAAGTTAGATAGATACATATATATAGGAAAACACTTTAAAGTAGTATAACCCATTGTACAGAACTTCCTCTCACTGACCTGGCCACATACAGTGTTCATTAAATTATCACAACTTGGTATTCTTCAGCTATTACTCAACACTGGCCACACGGGCAAAAATCAATTCCTCCTTCACACACACACACAAAAAGAAAAAAATTTGCTAAGCAATAAAAGGGCCAAGTCCTGTTAGATGATTCAGGAGAGAAGCCTTCAGCCTCCAGTTTCTGTTGTACTAAGCACAATGCAAAATAAAGATCAATGTGACGAAAGAAGAGCTCATACAAGTAAGCCAATCTTCTGTACACTCCTAAGCCACATTAAAAAGCCTTTTAATCCCTTGTATCTGACAATGCCTGCTGTTTTCAGCCCCAGAGAGTTATTTCATTTAGACTCTGTCAGTGAAACCTTTTTAAAGCCAAGTATGGCTACCTCATTGTCATGTCTTCTAAGTCTGTACACCAATTCACAAAGCTGCCCAAGTCCTGTGGGTCACCTCTGGACTCAGCATCCATGAAACAAATGAGTATGCACACATTCTCCTTCAAAGAGATGTGCAAAAAGACCTATGAAGGAAATACCCACCCCAAACATTGCTGAGTAAGTTTCCTCCTAAACCACACTGACACATCTACTGCACCTTTAAGCATGTAACTAGCTGATCCTCAATTCTATTAATGTTGCTGGACTCAAGAGAATCTGTCTTTAAGGCTCTCTTATAGTATAACTGTGTGTTGATGGTCATACAATAATGATGGTAAACCCAGACCATGAGTGATCTTGAAGCCAGCCAGGCCAGGTGTCCTTACGAACAAACAACACTGTCTGTAGGAAGGATCTAACAGGCAGCTGCTTCAAGAAATGTCTCCTTCATGGTAAAATGATCAATTAAGGCAGTAATTTCTACCAAAGAGCAAACCAAAAGGTCACTCTTTATCACACATTTCATATATAGTAGAGCTGAACACCCAGGTCTGCTACTGGAGGAAAATGACATTTGGCAAGACTGCCTTGGAGACAGACAGTCCACAAGAAACACCTACTACATGGCAACAATGACTGGTTTTGCCCCTCGCTAATACTGAGGCTGATAAGCACTGGATCAGCCTTGTGGGTGGACTGAAGAAGCTTAAAGAATATTTGCTTTATATTACAGCAGTTACCAAGAGCCTTGGTGGCCCTGTCAGCTGCAAGGAACTGCCATGGGTTGTGGCCCAGTTGTGCTTCTGGCATGGGCAGCAGGGAGGAAGGCAGGTGGAAAAGCCAGAGCAGGAACTTTCCAAACTTAAGGATCTCTCCGCTTTGTCCTTCGGGAATGGCACAAATCATACAGAGCATTATGGCAGCAGCATCTAAAAATGGAAAAGATTATTAGGTCATTTACCACCTTTTCTAGCCAGGGGTGAGACCTAGGTTTTCTAAAATGAAATTTTTCAAACTCTAATTAAATGTAGCCAATCCTCATTAAAAATAAACTAGGTTCATATTCATGAGAGGTATTCTTCTTGCAACATAATGTCTCCCTGCCTCCTTTAAGGACAAATCTGGAAATATTTTGAAATACAATTCAGGAGGCTCCTGCTCCCCATTGATTTTTATTTTTCAGAGTATTCTGAAATCATTCCTATTTATAGTTTTGAAAACGAGTTGCTGGCAGGGAGCCAAAATTGTTTAGGCCCAAATCATGACCTTCCTTTAAACTGCTATAATCTGACTCAAGTAAACAGAAGTTTCCCTCACACTGTTCCTGTGAGGAGGGATGGGTGGGGAACTGCTGTACTTTCGACACACCCAACCACCAGTATCTGCCCCTTTCCTAAACCCTGGCTCTAGAGCAAGGCTGTCCCCCCTGCTCCCCCAGAGCTCACATCCTGTTAACCCTCCACTTTCCCATCTGTATTCATCCTGCTCACTTACCTCTGTACAAGTCAGTAGAGAAGGCCAAAGGTTCCTCTACTTAATGGGTGCGAGTACGTACAAATAAGCTCTTTAAATGTATGCAATCCATTAGATGGGCTCTGTTTGTGCTGGGACACTGCTGGATCTGGCCTGCAAGCGAGAAGCCTGGTCCAATTTTAATTTATATCAAGGTCACTTATACCCCTGCAGCAGTATAAACATCTCAGGATGTTAATGTAACTGTGAATTGGGACAATTGTGTTTCTTTATTTCTGCAGCCTTCGAAATGCATTGCAAATGCCTAAATTAAGAGGCTAACTTAAAAAGCAAAGTCTGATAGAAAGGAGATAAAGAATGCGATTATTTAGCTGCAGCTTAACCCGTAGCAAAATATATAACACACGTAAGATGTGGTTTTAGCATGGATTTTGATTATGAAGGATTACCTTGCTGGAGGTACTGCCTACCAGCACTGAATGGGATGTGTGGGTCACCATCATTTACCAAACTATTCCCTTTGCAAGCATCCCAGGCAGCATTACAGCCATCTTCATGTAACCTGCTCCAGCCGAATTACTCGTTTTCATTTTGTTATTGTTTAATAGCATTTGCTTGAATGATTTGCTGTGCACACCACCTTGCTTTTGACAAAACCCGTCTAACAAAAAAGTCCTTGATGTGCTGCAGATGGAACCAGGCCAGAGGAGAAAGTCTCCTTTGCAGAGCCTTTCCGTACACAAAGTTAAGTGTCAGCAGGTTTGTATTTTCCCCTGCTAAATTCTAAGGGCAACCAGTCTTTAAACACAGTGACAGAAACAAACGCAACATACCAAACGCACTTCCATTGGCTTAAAAAAAAATGGGTCAAGCCCAGTGCTGAGGGAAACATCCCTGTGTAAACAAAGCTGTAGTAATGCCCCGCAGCGTGTGTGCAGCACCAGTGACGGTAGCGAGAGGCCGGGCTTTTTAACCAAACCGAAGTCAAGCCCCCCCCTCCTCCCTCGAGCCCCCCTCCCCCGATGTGAGGAAGGCTCTTCCCGCAGCGAAACAGTCCTTGACCCGTTCCCGCACCGCCCGGAGCGGGAAAGGGGCTGCTCCACCTGCAGCCCGGCCCTGCGGCCCGGGACGTCCCG